TTGAAAGGATTTGTTTAATTACATTTTTGCATTGAAATGCAATCTAACTGCACGATTTCTGAGGTTTTGTCCTCGGTTGAAGCAACTCATGTGGGAGGTAAACATTCCGTGCCGCCAGTCATGCTGCACCAGACCTAGTGGGGGGGGGGGCAGGGCAATGCAACAAATCCATTGCAGGACGAACAGCTCCAGACACAGGAAGTGTTTGTTGATGAAGTATTTCAGGCATATTTTGGCATTCAAAGCTTGCCGCCGTGCGATCAAATTTGGCGATCCGTTGTCTGAGGCTCGTCCGTGAAATGTGATCCCTGTGCTAATTTTGTGCATAATTCCATCAATTTTGTCTATGAATTGTTGTGTATTTGACATGGCGAGTGCAGGGTTGTTTGATGTTGTTTGGGTCTCAGATACCCTTCCAGAAAAATCTGAAGTTTGCCTTTCATTGGATCAGCCAAATAATACAATACTTCAAATTTTAAGTCCATGGATTCGACTGGCACTTGGCAGGTTCAAATGGACAAACTTTTGAGGGAACTCAGCAAGTGTGACTTCCCTTTTCAGTGAGGCACTCAGGAAGTACGGTAAGTTGGATCGATGGTAAAGAAGTAGGTGAACTGAACTATATGTTGAACTGTTGAGTTGAGTTGTTTCTGTCCGTCGGTTTTTTGAGTGACATGCAACAAGTGGTATTTGTTTGGTGGTATATTTGCATGTATTTGTTCTGGTAATGCGTTCGATGAACTTGAATTTGGCCAGTGTCGGAGAGTCAGTCAAGAATGAACCGTCCTTTGTTTGGGTGTTATTTTTAAGACCTGCCTTTGTGAAATAAGGTGAAACATATTGTTGCTGTGATGGCACAGGCATGTGAATTGACGCACACAATTTCAGAACAAACCCCTTTGTTGTAGAATGTTGTAGATATTGTCTCGTTGAATGAGCTGAAGCTACTTTGACTGAGTTCGCCTATAGAGTTAGTCCCTCACTCAAAACTTGACTAGTCAGAGCCTGCACCGATACCCCTCAGGTGTGCGCATGGGCGGCCCACGGTGTACCCTGTCGCCAGCTTGCAGCAGCTGGAATTCCGAAGTCGCCTGGCTCGGACCACTCGCGCCCGCGCGCCGCATGGAGTGCTGACCCAGGGGGTTCCCGGGTGTGGAGCGTGCGTTGTGGACGAATGGGCATGGCCTGAGCAGCGACAGCTGGAGCTGATGGTGGTTCCAGCCAGCCCTTTCCCATCCGACAGCTGGTTCGATGACTCCCATTTGGGAGCTTGACACCCTGCACCGAAAGATGATCTTCAGAGAGGAACTGCGCAGTGCACACGTTTTACGCTTTGTTAACACACTTGAGGAATTCAGAATTGGGACACTTTGGGTCAAGCTAGTACCCAAGAAAAGCCAGAGAAGGTGGTATTGCTTCTGTTGGCCATCAGACTACGGGGTTGCAGCTTGCATATGTGTCACCCACCGCCGAGGCCAAGTGAAGCGCATCCCTGTGGCAGGTGGGACGGGATGCGGATGGATGCAAGGACGCATGGGATGATAGAACAAGAGACATTTCTTCCTTGAATTTTAACCAGCTATCTAATACAAGACCCGAGATAATTTTGTTGTTACGACCGAGTAAAGGACCGATGTGGACCGTGTTTGTTCCAAAGGGCCCTGTAAGACGGAGCATGTTCCATGTTACAAGACCAGGAAAAAAAATATATAAAAGCACAGGTTGATACCGGAAAAGTACAGGGGCAGGAGCTTGGGCTCAGAATGGGACTCTTTGCGAGGAACAGATGGGTGGTGAAAACTAGTGACACCTTTGTGTGCTATGTGGGTTGTGTTAGGCTTGCAAGTGGTTGCCTAGCCTAGCATGCAACAGCCAGTATTTACCGATGCTGTTGGTGGAGACTGGACTTCACCGACCCCCAGCAGTTATGTTGTTCTCCAACATTCAACACTAATCAGTAATCTATATATACTATAAAATCACTATATAGAGTAGGAAAACGATGGAACAAGTTAATGTGGCCCTCAGATTTATAAACCCCCCTAGAATTATGTATTTTTTTTTCCCTGCACTGATTTATAAAGGCCCCTAGAATAATGTTTTTTTTTTTTGGAGGGGTAGTTGTAGTGGATTTTTTTTTATTGTTATAGTTTACTTTTTCCCTTTTGAATTTGCTGGGATTTGCTTATCTTACAGGCTTTTGGATTGAGATTTCTATTAAACATTTGGAGATTTCCATTGAGATTTGATTCTTTTGGAGGCTTTTGGATGGAGATTTCTATTCAAAAATTTGAGATGTCCATTGAGATTTGATGCTTTTGGAGGCTTTTGGATGGAGATTTCTATTAAACAATTTGGAGATTTTCATCGAGATTTGATGCTTTTGGAGGCTTTTGGATGGAGATTTCTATTGAACATTTGGAGATTCTATTTTCCTAAGCTCTTTAGTTGTGAAGCTTTCCAAAAGTTTCCAAAAGTCAGTGCGCACTTTCTTTATAAAATCCCTTATTTAAAAGTATTAAAAAAAACAAAAAAATCATTCAAGCAAAGGGGGTAGTCCAGCAAGCAGCTTTCTGACATTATTTAGGGGGGGCCTCTAGAATAATGTCTAGAGATTTGAGGCTTTAAATCTTTTTTCCTTTTCTTTGCCTTTTGATTTGCATTCAAGCAAAGGGGGTAGTCCAGCAAGCAGCTTTCTGACATTATTTAGGGGGGGGCCCTAGAATAATG